TTTTTTTTTTTTTTTTTTTTTTTTTGGTACTGGGGTTCAAACTCAGGACCCTGCGCTTGTGAGGCAGGCGGCAGCACCTCTGAGCTAAATCCCTGGCCCCAGCAGTCCTTGATGGTCATCATCTGGGTTCATTATTTTGTTGAGTTTCCTTCACATTTGTATAGTAAAGAACCCCTGTTAATTCTTTGCCTTCATCCTCATGGGGTATTTTCTTGTCGCTGGCCCTCTCTCCTTTAGGTCTACTTTTTTTTTTCTTACTACTGCCTATATCCTGTATCATCATCTCCTTTCTTATCAACTCAAAATGACCCTATAGTGTCTTCAGACCTCATGCACTCCACCGTGCTTCACTGGTGACCTGCACTTCTTGAGGGGAGGGGCCTTACCTGGAATCTGTTCTCACTGAGATAACAGTGGATCCTGCTAAGGCCTTGCTTGACCCCTGCCCGGGGTGGAAACACTTCCAACCTTTTTCGCCTCTGGGAAAGAGTTTAGCAGTGGGTGGGTTTTTCACCTTCCCAGGAATTTCTGAGCAGCTTTCTTTTGTGCTGAGGAGGGTTTTTCTTATTTGTTTCCTGAGCTTCCTGCTCCAGTCTAGGCCCTGGCAGAGACTCAAGCCTGGTTTCCTGTTTAGCTTGTTTGAAAGCTGGGAGAGGTTGGGGGAGGAGTGGGGTGGGGTGGGCAACTCTAGCACTCATAGGTCCTTTTCTCTTTCCTGCCAAGTTTAAAAGAAAAATCTAAGGGCTAGAACCTAGTAACCACCTTCTGGTACTTGACATTTCTGTGTTCCCCCAGTATCTCTACTCCTAGTTCCTCTTCTCTTAGAGGCCAGACTGTAGAGGCTGTGAGCTGTGTGTGTATGTGTGCCCCAGACAAGTACAGTGCATGAACCACAGTGCTGCAAGGCAGCTAACCAGAAGCCCACAAAAGTGGGAGCTGCTTCTTACAAACTTGAATTCATCCCCAGACATCGCCTCTGCCCACAGGAGACCTGCGGCTCCACCAACAGCCCTAAGAAGTATTAGTCCCTAGATCATTATGTCCAACACAATGGATCCTCTGATGGAACAGGAAGTCAGAGAGGTGGAGGCTGGCTAGAGACTATCAGCAGCCAAAACACATTAAGGGCTCTGTAGTGACAGCTGACCACTCATCATGACCAATACAGTCACTTCTCAGAATCTACAAGGGATTGGTTTCAGGAGCCCTGCCAATATAAAAATCCATGGATATGTAAAATGGCTTAGTATTTGCATATGATGTGTGTACATCTTCCTATATACTTTCAATCCTTTCTAGATTTTCTAGTTTTCTACTTTAAATCATTTCTACATTTACAATGTAAATGCCATGTAAATAGTTGTTGGGCTGGGGATTTAGCTCAGTGGTGTCCCTGCCTGCCTCACAAACCCAAAGACCAGAGGGGGAAAAAAAAAGTAAATAGTTGTAGTTATTGTTTCAAGAATGACAAGGGAAAAAAAATCTGAACATGTTCAGTATAGATGCAATGTTTTTGCAAATATTTTTAATCCAAGGTTGGTTAAATCTATAGATATGGAACCCATAGATTCAGAAGGCCAAATGTGTAGGATGAAACCCTCAATCTTGACTGCTCTACTAACATTGCTCCTTGTGTCTAGCTTTTTCTTGGGCAGTGAGAATCCAGTGAACCTCATTCTGTTTCAGGAAGGGACCTGTTGGATGTGAGGGTGATCTGTCTGCAACATCTGTCACCCTATTGATCACCAGGGTTGATTCAGCTGATCTGGCTGGCTAGGTGGGTGTCCCCTTCCTGCCTCACTGCTCCATGTATGTCCCTCCCGAAGAGAAGATGGCCACCCCAATGGAGGAGGACCAAGTCCTCGGTCAAGGGTATATGAGTAGTTGTGCTCCCCTGCTAGAACCAACAAGCTCTCAAGGAAGAGACCTATTACAGATTACATTTGTACTTCCCTCTCCTGGATGGTCTTCCTTCTCCTGCATGATCGCAACAGGAATTATGTGAAGCCTTATCTTTTCTTTTTTTACTAGGGATCAAACTCAGGACCTTGAGCTTACAAGGCAGGCACATTCCACTGAGCTAAATCCCCGGTCTGAAACCTTGTCTTTTTCATCCATTGAAAAGAGATGTAAGAGGAAAGTGTTGCCAAGTAGCGGGAATGCCCAGAATAGCCCTATGCTTCAACAGCTTCTATTTACTCGAAGAGCTCAGATGGCCTGCAAGGTCTTATGTAGTCTGCCTCGTGCCTTCCTCTCTGGCCTATCTCATAATTATCCCTTGCCATTACATAAAATATCACTGGCTTTTCCTCCACTTCTGTGGTGTCTCAGCTCCCTTTTGCTTTGGGACTTTGCACATGAAGTTCTTGCTGCTTGGGATGCTTTTTGTTTAAGTTAGCTTCCATTCATTGTTCATCTCTTAGGTTACCAATAATTTCATTACTGAGGGCTTCCCTTAATCCCTAGACTTGGTCAGTGGTCTTCTCCTTATTTCACTTTTCAGTTATACATATATAGGTGTAATTGTTCTATTTAAATGGGTCTGTGGGCTGGGGATGAAGTTTAGTGGGTAGAATGCTGCCTAACATGTGTGAAGTCCCAGATTTGAGTCCCAGCACCACAAGATTTAAAAAAATGAAAACATGGAGCTTGGGCATGGTGGTACACACCTGTAATCCAGGCACTTGGGAGGCTGAGGTAGAAGGATCTCTGAGTTCAAGGCCAGCCTAGGCTACATAGTGAGTTCAACTGTGTAATGAGACCCTGTCTCAAAAACAAAACCAAACAAAAACAGTTAAAACTGGTCCTTTTAAATGCTAAGTTTCATGAAGCAGAGACCATATCTGTTTTTACTTCCTATTATGTCTCCTGTGCTTTGCAAGATACTATCACCTAGTAGACATTAACTAGATGCCTGTTGAACTGTATAATAATTAATGACTTGAATGAATTCAGTTTTCATATCTCCTTTACTTGGTAGCCCCATTTCATTCTATCATATTCAACCATGCACCCTGCATGGATGTGTGTCCTGCTGTCCATGAGCCCTTACTATATGTCTGACACCAGACATACAATATCATTTAATCCTTGCAGCTCTGTAAAGGAGGTACACCCTCAATCTGAACAGAGGCAAAGTGAGACCCAAGGTCACACAGCTAATAAGTGGCAAAGCCATTTCAACCCCAGGTGTGAGTCGGCAAAACCCATTCTTTTAACCATAACACTATACTGCCCCCTTTTGGCATTTCAGAGAGTTGTCAGTAGAACCTGGTAACTTCAACTATAAATCAGTATTTTTGACAAAGGCCCAAGAAGTCATAATCTAGATTCTGCTTTTGGGCCAGGTTATGGAAGAACACAGGAAATTGAATTCAACCTGGATCTTCAATATTCCAGGGTGCATGTGTCTCAGGGCCTGTCTCCCAACCTGTTTTTCATGGTCCCTTTGTATCCTCCAGATTGTAATGTAGTGACTTGTTTTAAAGAAAAAAAAAAAGGGTCAGCTGTTGAAATGGCCTGATCTGTAATGTCCAGGGAGTTGACCATGCCCTGACTAAGACCTCAGTAAAAATAAATGAGAGGAAGAGAAGAGTGTTTTTCAGTGATTTAGTCACTAAAAGCAGAGCCCTGGAAACTGACTTCCAGGTTTTCTTGGGAAATGCAGACCCCCTAAGACAGCAATGACTTACTATTGATTAGTAATGCTGAAGTTAATTGAAATCCAAAGGTTTTTTGTTTTTGTTTCATTTGCGTCTTTTGATGGTGGGTAAATTGGGACTAATGCATTTATCCTTGAAAGGATTAAATGAGATGTTGTATGTCTGGTGACAGACACATAGTAAGTGCTCATAAACACTTTAGACTAGATTGAAACAAAATCAGCAAGCAGCATAAAAACAAACAAAAAACGCTACCATTTGTTGTACATGCCAGGCTTGCTATAAAATATTTTACACACATCATTTCACTTCATTCTAACACCAGCTTTACAAAGTAGGTAATATTACACCTATGAAAGGAAGGGAGTAATAAGAAAGGTATCTTGCCAAAGGTCATACAGTTAGCTGGCCTTAGAACTAATCTTTCTGACTTCAAAACTAGAATAACCCCCACACGCAGTTGCCACAGCCTCTCTGGAAAGACAACTGTGCCTCCAAGCATATGCCTGCATGCCCAGTGACCCTCAGCAATTCACTTCTATGGGCAATTCCACTTCTAGGAATTCATTGAACTAAAAAAAAGACAGATAAATGCATAAAGACTAGACATTATAATAGTTCTAAACAAATGAAAATATACATATAATTTTATAGTACACCATTGAGATTATAACAGTTATAGTAACTATAACATTATAATAGCGAGAAAAGAAGAAGAAAAAAGTAAAGGACCCAAACCTCCATCTCATTCCACAGCTTACATATAGGAAGCTTTTGTGGGGGTGGGTGTTTGTTTTTTTGAGACAAAATCTTGCTATGTAGTACAGGCTGACCTTGAGCTCACTATGTAGCCCAGGCTGGCCTCAAACTTGCAACAATCCTCCTGCCTCAGCCTCTCAAGTGCTGGGATTACAGATGTACACCACGACACCTTGCTAACATAGGAAGCTTTTTAAAAGAGGAAAGTAAGATCTACTATGGCTCAAAATGAAAAGATGTTCATGGTATATTTTTCTTGGGTTAAAAATGCACATAACAGGAATGTTACTATCATAAACTACATGTGGAAAATGTATAGTATGATTCCAAGTTTAAATTTGCATATTGACCACATATTTTAAAAGTCTAGAAGTATAAAATGGCAAAATAAAGATTTCCTACCTTTAAAAAATGGCAACAGTCAAATTACAGAACTTTCTTTTTTTTTTTTTTTGGTACCAGGGATCGAACTCATGTCTTTGTGCTTGCAAGGCACGCAGCGGAACCACTGAGCTAAATCTGGCCCTCATTTTCTTCCTTATTCACCTTTGTTTTTGAGTTTGTTATGACAACATTACCTTTTTAAAGATAGATTTAGGTATATAGATATAGATAGATACACACACTCACTCACTTTGGGAAACAAATGGTCAAAAATCATGCTCTTTCCACTGGATCATGCCTACCCAAGCAGTGGAGTTTTTGCCTCATAATTCCCATGTTTTTGAATTGGGCATCATACCAACAGGTTAGTAAGATGCGTGAGTATGGAAATACTGCCAGATACCTCTGTGCCACTTACTGACCTATCTTGTCCCTCCTAGGTACCCTTTGTTTTGACCTGACACACGTAATTCACATCTTTTCATTTCCTTTTTAAGTTCTACAGAGCCCTGTGGTTTTCAGGAGGCAAGGCACTTCTTTGGACATAGTAATTAACATTGAAAAGATACATTGCTGTCTCTTACTCCTTGCTGAGAGATTTTCTGCAGTTTCACCATCACCATAGAGAAGTAAAGGAAGAAATTTGTACTCACAATGAGGAAGAAAGAGCCATGATCACTCACATGTCAATATCCTGGGTTGTTCTTTGGCTTCTGGCATATCTCCCATTAGTGTTGCTGTTTGTGTTGTGGTTTTTACCATGACCTTTTTATGTGGTAAAGTAGGAAAGGAGACAGGAAACAGAAACCTCCTCTTGACTAAAAGATTTTGTGGGGAACTGCTCAGCTTTATAAGACTTCACTTTTTTTTCCTCTGAAAAATTGGGATAAATAATAAATGCTATTTCTATCTCTTAGGGTTGTCAGATTAAATGAGACCATAATAAGGAAAAAAAGCTTTGAATGCAATACAAGCATAAAGTTCTATATTTTTCTGAATTTAACCATTTCACATTTGTATCATAAACTCATGTGAACAAGTGTACTTCAGAATGTGTTTATTATGGGATGGTAATTTACTAGAAAGATAGGAGAGATACTGAAGTTTCTTGAAAGGCCATTCCATTCTTAAGCCAACCTGAGACAAGGAAAGTCACATTCATTTTCTACTTCAGGCACTTGTGTTGCTGTTTTCCCATTCAATATGCATTACTTTTGTAAGTTAAGGAAAAAAATAAAGATTTTTTAAGTGGTTTACAGTGACCTAGTCAGAGTAGATATAGGCATTGGAAGTCATAGAGGGCTGATAGGTGGAGCAAAGAGAAACAAGAATTTGAAAATATGCACAATCAGAAACGGCCTTGTTGGTAAATTTTGGGCCATGTTTTAAAAATTACTGAATGTCAGGTCAATGAGTTTTTAGTGCTGGGAGGTGTTGAAGGGCCTTGAGTAAAAGAGTACTGTACTCAGAGCAGTGTTTAATTCTCCAAAGAGTGAAGAGTAATGCATAAGATGGGCTGGAGGAAGTAGAGATGAAGAGAGAAGATGAAAGTTAGCACTTCATTGATCCAGCAATAAGTTGATAAAGACCTGAAGCAGAATTTTGGCTGAGTAAATGTTAAAAACAAAACAAAAAGCAGGCACCATGGCACATACCTGTAGTTCTAGCATATGAGAGGCTGAAACAGGAGAATCATTTGAGGTCTGGAGTTCAAGACCAACCTGGGCAACATAGGAGACCCTAAACCAAACAAAGAAGAAAAAAAAAGTTAGATATTTTAAAGAATGTGTTACCATATGTTCATTGTTGGTTTGCTAGAGGTATATGGAGGGAGGAAGTGGATTACAACAAGCCCACAGGCAAGTCAAGGAAGCAGGAGCCAATCCAAAAGAGCTCCCAATGGTGCAAGTTGGAACAATCTGAGCAATAGAATAAATAGTGATAGTATTAGATTATAACCTCCTAAATAAAATAAATGTATTAATCCATGCTAATCCATACTGTTATAAATAAATGATTGAATGAATAAATGGAGAACATACAATATCCTTTTAGGAGAATTCACATTTATATAATTTATAAAATTTTACCTTTATTTGTAGAAAGAATTAGTCAGCAGCAGCACCTAATTCAAATCTAATTTTTTAGATTTCTCAGGTGATCTGCCATCATCTTTCAGGATCATGGGCCAGTACTAATCAGGTATTTCTGAAAACTCTGTTTTCCTTTGGCTTTTATGGAAGCATTCTATCCCTCTCTGTTCTACTTCCTTCTTGATCCTCCTCTTGTACAGTAGACAGAAGCTCTCTTCCCAGTGTTCTCAGTTGTTCTATTTTTTTCTACATGTTTTTTCCTGGCATCTCATATAAGCTTATTGTTTCAATTAATATCTCACTGGGCTTTACTCCCAACCTTGTATCTCTAGCTCTGACCTCTCTCTAAGCTCCAGACCCATATTTGTAACTGCCTGCTCCTTCTACTCCCCAGTAAAATTCTTTTAACTCTTCTTACCTTAATAGAAAAACACTTCCCGGTTAAATACACTTGGGGGGTATTTTTAAATGTTTCATTTTGAAATCATTTTATATTAACTTACAAAGATAGCCCAGAAGGTCCTGTATACCTTTGCTCATGTTTCCTCTGATATTACATCTTACATTACCATGGCACATTTATTAAATCTGAGAAGTTAATACAAGTACAGTTCTATTAATGATACGATTCATGCAAATTTCTCCAGCTTTGTTTGTTTGTTTTGCCGATAACCTTTTTCTCTTCCAGGATCCATACTGTGTTTAATTGACATGTTTCCTTAGTTTTTCAGTCTTTTTTTGACTTGCATGACCTTGACTTTTGAAAGGTACTGATCAGGTATTTTCCGGAATGTCTCGCAAGTTTACATTTGCCTAATGTTTCCTTGTGATTGGACTGAGGTTATGGATTTGGGGGAAAAATACCACAAAGGTGATGTGTCCTTCTCATCATGGCATAGCAAGGAAAGCCTCTGTCTTATTACCAGTGGTATTAACCTTAGTCACCTAGGGTGTTTGCCAAGTCTTTCTATTTAAGTAATAACTAATGGTAAAGATATTGTTACTTCTCTTACCATATGCCATTCTTAAGAAGCAAGTCAGTAAATTCAGCTTACACTCAAAGGGAAGGGAATTAAATTTCACCTCCTACAGGGAGGACTATAGAAGAATTTGTAAATACATGTTAAAACTACCACAGTAATTAATATATATGTTTAAGCTGTGTCAATATCTTGTTTCTTTGTAAAGTTTTACAGTTTTAACAGTCAATGGATTTTGCCAGTAGCCATTATTAGTATGATGTTCTAATGGTAGCTTCTTATTTTCTTCATGTTAAAAATGAAAAACCACACCGAGAGAGGTTAGAAATTTGTTCAGGATCACACAGGTAAATAAATGGCAGAAATCACAATTCATAATAGCTAAATCTTGGAAGCAGCCTATATATCCAGTAACAGGAGAATGAATAAAGAAAATGTGGTATTTTTACACAACAAAGTACTACTCTGCCATAAAGAAAAGATAGATAAAGAAAAGATAAACTTGAGTCATCTGTAGAAAAATGGGTGCACTTTGAGAACATAATGTTAAGTGAAATAAGCCAGACTCACAAATATCACATAGTTTCTCTATGTTAAGAAACTCAATATACAAATGAAGTTCAACATAAAAGATAGGAAAAAGAGAGAGAGAGAAATTACTATAATTCAGCATGGCCAGTGCATCTAAAAGTATATCTTGATTTAGTATAATTGTCTTATGTGTTTTATATGTTTTTTGGTCTGTTAATCTGGTTATTAATCTACTTATTATAATTAAATTGAGGCTCGGCATGGTGGCACACACCTGTAATCCCAGCACTCAGGAGTGAGGCAGGATTTGATTTAGTATAATTGTCTTATGTGTTTTATATGTTTTTTGGTCTGTTAATCTGGTTATTAATCTACTTATTATAATTAAATTGAGGCTCGGTGTGGTGGCACACACCTGTAATCCCAGCACTCAGGAGACTGAGGCAGGAGGATCGCTGTGAGTTCGAGACCAGCCTGGGCTGCATAGTGAGTTCCAGGTCAGTCTCAACAACATAGTGAGACCCTGTCTCAACCCCCCCAAAAAATTATAATTAAATTGATAAAGATTTGTAAAACAAGTAAATCTGATACTGACAAAAAAAATATTTAAAGATGGAGTGGAAAGAGGGAAAAAACAATTGAGATGTGTTATTTACATGTACCAGCTCTCCACAATGAATGTAATCATTGTGTACAGTAAACATGTATCAACAAAAATAAAGAATCCAAAGTATTCCTTGGCATACTAATTTTTAAAGAAAAATGGCAGAAATAGGATCCATTCCAAAATGATTTTTTTCCTTTTTCTGATACTTCGTTCCCTTCTCTTTTCATGAACCCAGGGCCCTACATATACTAAGCAAGTACTCTATAGTTTTATACCCTCAGCCCTTTTAAAAATTATTTTATTTTAGTTTGGTTTTTTGAGATAATATCTCGCTGTGTAGTCCAGGTTGGTCTTAAATTGGAAGTCGGCCCCTCAAGTGCTGAGATTACAGGTGTGCACCACCACACCCAGCTCCTTAGCCCTTTTCATTTTTTTTATTTTAAGAAAAAGTCTTATTAAGTTGCCCAGTATGGACTCAAACCTGCAATTCTCCTGCTGAAGCCTTCTAAGTAGCTGAGAATACAGGTGTGTGCCACCTACACCTGGCTTAAAACCAGTGATCTTAAGCTCTGCACTGCGTTGCTTGTACTGACTCTCATGTGTATTTGCACATGCATAAACACAAGGATCTAGGTTGTGTGCCAGGAATTTAACTCTGCATAGCTCTAAAGGTAGGATTAAGGGTGATTTTTTTTCTTTCTGCTTATCTAGATTTCTTAAAGTGAATATATTCTACTCAAATTTGGTAGTCATTGAAAATTTTCTATAATATCTGTGATGAGAACAAAGAAGGTATAGCCTTCTCAGGTACAAACAAAGGAGAATCTACTTCTGTGCAGCAGAACAGACTGCAGCAACAGGACAGAGAATCTAGCATGTGTATACATATGTGTGTGCGTGTGTGTGTGCGTGTGTGCGCAAGTCTGTGCAGTGGCTGCTGAGAGGGGAGGAAGTGATGAACTGCCTGAGGATGTACCACATGGAGAATTCTCTTTCTCCCCTATGGCCACCTTGTCCCTGAGCCAAGCCTGTTTTCTTCTGAGCTTCCAAGGGGACTGGGAGATATTTTTTCATACACACGAAGATCCTGAACTTCAGCCTTTGTTGAAAATATGTCTGGGGAGACGGGCTGCTGGCATGAAGCCCAGGCTGCAGCCATAATGAGAGAGTGGAGTCATTTTGAGGCTACTCCAGGCCACTCAGGCCATGGGTCCAAACAGGTAGTTAATATCAACAATGCGCAGAGATGAGTCAGTGGCAATTGAGGCCAGCATTAACCAGCAGGTGGGGCTCTTTCTAGATCCTCCGAGGTCTTCGGGAGACAGTTCAGAACCCTGGATAGTTCCCAGAGAAGTCCTGCCTACTCCTGCCAGGTCTGAAGGGCCTGGGTGCCTGCCACATCCTTAAAGCCCTGTGCTCATTTTGAATAGCCTTTCTGTATATGTCTATTCCGATGACAGGCCTGACCTGTTCTCTTTCCAAGACAAGCCCCTTGAGCCCAAGGATTCCCCCTTATCCCCTCTAGCCACTTTCTTACTCACACCCCCATCTAGCCTGACTGAGCTCTCTGTTGAGGTCACCATCACTATAAAGGTGAAATAAGCTTGCAAGACAATCATGTCACTTCCTGAGCTGTCCCTGGGCAGGCCCCAACATTATAACACCTCAGGGCCGCAGGACTCTGCAGGATAGGGAAGTCCTCTGGAGCAAGGGAGTGTTAAAAGGCCTTTGTCTGTAATATCCTGCACTCTGCTTTTCAGTTAAGGCATGGGGGAGAGACACTAAGGAGAGATGCTGAGTGTGTTTCAAGGCCTAGAAGGGCAGCCTCCCATGGCCATCCCTGTACCTTTATCATGAATTAAACACAACTATTTTTTAGGGGAAGGACATCGAGGGGGGCAAATGTAGCAAGTAGAAGTGGAAATGAAACTGGTAAGTGTGGGAGCTCACAGACCGCCACCCCATTCTAACCATGCACACACACACCCCAGAGCCCACAGGCAGGGAGTTAAATTAACACTGTACAGGGTTTCCTTCTCTATTTTCAAGTCATATAGAGGGAATATAAGGAGTCTGAAAGGACAGAGAAATCAAAACCCATCTACTAGGGACTGGATTTTCTGGTAAAAAGTTCTTTCTGTACATCCAAGTCTCTCCCATGGCTAAATGAATCAGAGCCAGAAAATGAGGTTATTGCGATTACTCTAAGATTCCTTGGGCTAGTAAATGAGGAAAGAAGGTAAATCCATTTGCACTGAGGCTGAGCAAAACATTCAGGATCCCATGCCTCATAATCAGCTGAGCTCTGACCTTGTACAGAGCTCTCTCCTTTTGAGGCCTTTTTTCTACTTTTATAGGCTCCTGCATCCTTTAAGTGTCCAACCCAAAGACCATTGCACACATTATACCTCAAAGAACTTCCTAGTCAACCTAATTAGTGGAATTGGAAAAGAGCTGCAGGCTGCCTCTCCTAGCACCAATCAGTCACAATGGGACAAGGAAGAACAAAGAGAAGAAAAGAACATTTGATGTTCACTGAGACCTGGCAGAATTTAGACTGGAATGACTATGGCTGCTCCCACCCACCTGAAGAAGTATTGCCAAGTAGTACTCCTGGAGATAGGGCCATTGGCAATGTAGTAACCAATTTATGGTCAAGACTCTCAGAGGATCTGGATCCAGGCTGGCCCTCAGCCTAGCTCTTCTTTTTCTCCTGGAAGCAGCTTTCTAGCTTCCAGGAGAGGCCCTTACTGTGGAACCAAGCACAGGCTCTTTCAGCCCACAACAGTGCTTAGAGAAGAAACAAGAACAGATGAGGTCTTTGCCAGATTCCAAGAGGTCTGTTCATGTTGGGTTTTTGTTTTTGTTTTTGTTTTTTTTCTGAAGTAGAACAGGCCTAACCTCAGTCAGAGCTTGCTCTAGAGAGGTCTGTTCTCAAGGGGCAAAGGCACCCCATGTTTGACTTCCTGACAGCGGATGCTCTGTACTCATTGTTTTATTTAGGAGTGGTGATTATGTGACCACAAACCTTAGTAAATTGAATACAATCCTGAGCTTTCAGAAGAAGAAACAGTGCTGGACTCAGGGGAGGAAGCAGCTGGCTGGAAGGAAGGGCCCATGAATTCTAATCCCAGGGCTGCCATCTGGCAATGACCTGGGACAACTCATTTACTGTCTGCCCTAGAGGCTTTCTGAGATCTCAGGGCCTGAATAAAAACAGACCTGAGCTCTCAGAGAGTGAAACAACCTGTCTAGATTCTCAAAACCAGTGCAGTTCACAGGCAAATTGGAACCCACAGGCCCAGCTCTCAAGCTACAGTGTGTGTTTACTGTTGTGGAAGGTTTCGTGCACATTTCTTCAGTTTTCTTACCCTAATGTCTGAACTCCCAAGAGCTCCCTACCTTGATGAGTTCACTGCCTGGTAAGCGTGGTTGGAAGCCTTCATTGTCAAAAAGCACTTTGACCCTTAATTTTTTTT